GAAATCTGTTATTCGGGCATATGGATATGTATTTATGCACATACATATGTATGTGTGTGTGTGTGTTTGTTTGCAGGTGCCGAACGAACAAAAGTATTCGTACTTATTCGGCTGTGTGTGTGTGTGTCCGCTTTGCCACCACACCCACATTAAATATACATACATATGTATGTTGTGTGTGTGTGTGTCATTCCCATACATACAGACATGCACACCTACATATGCGAATAAGTATGTGTGTGTGTGTGTTTATTGGTACGGTTGCTTTGTAAGCCGAAAGATTTTGATTAACATATGTGTGTGTGTGTGTACATGTGTACATGTATTAGTACATATACAGATATGTGCTATGAATGTGTGTGTGTGTGTGTCCATATTTACATACATATGGGGATGCCGGCATCAAATGTAAACAAATGTGTGTGTGTGTGTGCTCTAACATCGACTTGTATGCATGTACATATGTATGTATGTACTTTGTGTGTGTGTGTGTGCAATGTACATACATACATATATGTATATATATATTCCACAGAATATGCATAGTAAGTGTATAAAGTACATATGCATATGGATGCTTATTTACATGCAATATACATACGCTGGTAATCCTTATACCTACATAGTACATATATAAATACATACATACATATGTGTGTATACAGTTGCTATGCTGTCAAATTACACCAATTCAACAGCACAATGTATACATACACACATACTATAAGTACATACATACATCATATGCATACATACATAGATGCGTGCACATTATGTATGTATTTATGTATACTCATATGTATGTATCTGTAATGCAGAGCGAGAGTTCGGCCCACTCCTGTTGCAGTGTACAAAGTTAACGCGTATGAACTTTTAAACGAAACAGATTAACTGATTGCTCAAATATAAGTATAACTTGTGAAGCGGCAAAATGTTGATCCGCTGGAAGAGTAAAGATAAAAGTGCATCAACTAATCAGAGCGGCAATGCGAGCAGCAGCTCATCATCGAAGAAGAAGCGCAAGGGACGAGAAGGAGGTAAGCAAAACAAACATCAACAGCATACATGCATGCACTTTTTGTGTGTAGTGTGGATGGCATACAATCTGACCAGCATTCATATACGTATACATGTATACATATGCATCAAAATTAACTGATAGTCTGCACATATAGCCGGACATTCGTATGTTTGTGCAATATGTACATATGTACATACATACATATGCACAAATAGTCCAATTGGAACCAATAGTATCGATATGAAAAGCGCTCGGTTGCTAATTGTATTCCTTTGCAATTGCGTTTTTCAGAAGAAGACTGGCAAAATGAAAATAAGCCGTCTCGCCTGCAAAGTAATGAGCAAGGTAAGAAACATCAACTGCTTTATGTCTATGTATGTATGAATGTATATATTCACTTTCGTGTTTACTTAAAGGTGGCGACGAGCGTAGACGCGCAATGCGACGCGATGATCCGCGAAGACACACACTCGGCGGAGATATTCTGGTCTACGGCAGCTCCCAGCATCCGCATCCGCATCAAATGGCGCAGCAACAGCAGCGAGCCATGGATCTGGAAGTAAGCATAGGTCAGCATTATCAATCAGCAATCAACAAGAAATTCGCTCTTCCATTACAGATGAGCACACGAGCGCAGAAGAACAAGAAAAATCAACCGATGCGCGGCTATGCACCTGTTAATCAAGGCCCCTTGTTCGATGACGATCCTGGCATTATGTCCGAGGTGGAAACAGCTAGCACTGGGTTTCGTAGAGGCGGCAAACAGCGCTCCTCGTTGCCAGTGGTGCGTACGCCCTCAAAGACGCTCGAGCGACCGCTTGGACTCGTCTTCCTGCAATATCGCTCAGAGACCAAGCGGGCATTGCTTCCAAATGAGATCACTTCGATAGATACGGTGCGTGCGTTGTTCGTGCGTTCGTTTCCTCGTCAGCTTACAATGTCATACTTGGAGGGACCCAACGTCAAGATCTACATACACGATGCCAGCAAGGACATGTTCTATGAGCTGGAAGATGTGCGCTCCCATCTGCGTGAGATACGCGATCGCTCCGTCTTACGTCTGTTTGAATCAACAGAGGTAGCCGCACCTCCACAGATTCTCCCTGGTGGTCCGGGCATACCACAGCCCTTGCCACAAGCACCTTCTAGCTGGGATCAGGATCAGAGCTATTTCAGCGAGCCCGAGTTCGATTCGGATTTCAAGCATCAGCACATCCACAAATCGAAGGTAAGACACAGACGGACCCAATTCAGAGACCATTTGGATRCTGGCTATTTGTTTATTTATTTATTTGCTTTAATATTATTTCAACACCCACAATTGATATTTGTTAAGATATTTCTATAAATATGTGCATATGTACATGGAGGTGAGAAGGTCTGCTACGATACGATATTTAAGCTTGGGTATCCAGCCATGTATACTTATACCTATATACACTTACATATATTCAAGTACATTCAAGGCAACAAACACAAAACAAAACAAAAAAAAAACAAAAAAAACAAAAAAAAAACAAAAACAAAAAAAAATCAAACAAAACAATATATGTATGTATGCATAATAAGCGTTATTTGCAGCACCCTGCTTAAGAGTATATTTTGCGGGATATTGACAGGATTCACTGCTGACTGAGTGGGTGATTGGGAGGGAGGTATTAGAAATTTCCACAGTTGCCCACACTGTGGCCTTTGAGCGTGTTGTTCATGTGCTCCTTGACGTCCTTCCAGGCAAAGACAATGGCGCCTTGGAAAGGCTCGGGGTCGCAGTTGCTACAGATTCCCATAACGGCCTTGACCTCCTCCTCGGCCGGCTCGCGATCGTGTGTGCTGATCTCCTCCTCGAGAGTCATCTTCAGCGTCAGATCCTGCTTGAATTGCTGCCCACCAAAGTCGGCCAGACCATTGTACTTACTGAAAACCTCGCTGCTGTCATCCAGTTGGCCATCATCAACCACGGATCCGTCGGCGAGCAAAACCAACCCTCGCTTTTGCACCTTTCGCGCCTGTGGTGCCTCCCGCTTAAATTGTATATGTGTCTCTGTCTCATCTATGAACTGCACATTGGCTGAGTTGCTAAGCATCTGGAAACGTCCCGTTGTTGGTTCATTCGAGGCCGCGGGTATCCCGCGAGGATAGGGCGACAGACCGAGTAGCTGCTGTGCCACCAACCGAGAGCCAGCATTAATTTGCCCATTAACAAAGTTTGTGTTCACTGTAATCGCTTGGTCTGCCACTCCATTTGGTGGATTCTGTGTGGGCATTGAGTTGGCCAGATTGATGCGGACTCTCGTTGGAATTTGTCCGCTTGCGAGCAGCGAGTGCATCGGCTGTGGTCGATTGATCTGAGTTTGTCCATACATATTACTATTAGCTGTAGAATCTCATTGAGCATACGAACCATTGGAGGAGCACGCGTTGTGCTGGGCAGCTCCTGACCCTCGTGATCAAAGTGGTGCACATGATGATGTTTGTGGTCTCGATGCGCCTTGCCCGCGCTCAAAGCGACGCGATAAATTTGCACGAGCGTCACCTCAAAGTGGAGGCCATGACTTACTTGCCCAGTTATTGAACTGCCGCCCGAGCGCAGTTTTCCCTTAGCGGGTATTTTATGGCCTACCAGCTGCAAAATTCGATTTCGAAGTTATGAATTGCAAAACAAATTCAACCAGTCGTATTGTGGCTAGTCAGGCGCGTTGTCGACTAGCAAATACCCTGAGCCCGTGTCGAGCTGCTGGTTCAGATATTCTGCATACAAAATATTGCGACGAGGAAAATTGACTGGAGTTTATATTTTTGCAACCAAAACTGATCAAGTCCAATGATCTATTATCACTATCGGACAAACAGAGTCACATTAGAAGATCGATTCGGATGTTGCATACACATGGGCACGGCTAATATGCCTTGAATCCGCACTCCCAGTGAGCAAAGTAGAGTAGGATTAATGAGCGATTATTGACTGATGTGACAAACTGATATTCAATACTTGCTGCAACAGCTGCAAGCCAGTCTGGTCTAGTTAGTCGCTTTCGTTCCGTTCCATCGAGCTTGGGCAGTTGGAGATTACTTACTGAATTATGGAATCCACGTCCAATGCGCTCTGCTTTCAGCCAGACCTGCCACTCGCCGGTCTTCCCATTCCACGAGCTGCACATGTGATGCCATTGCCGCATACGCAGCGGATAGTTCAATCTGTGGTTCATAATTAAATCGTGGTTCATATGTAGTCAGATATTTCGCTATATACCTATCTGTATATTGATTAGAAACAACGTACCTGTACATTTGCTGACCTTTTATGGCCATCGATAGGAAACTGGAATTTTGCGCGTTAGCGACCCAGATTTGTATTTCGCGTGGTTCCTTTTCGACTGCAGAAGTGGAGACGGAGTTAATTTGAGAAATAAAAATGTCGATGGCTGTTATGAAATCAGAGCAAATTGCGTGATGCTGAATTGCAATCGGCAAGCCAACCAGCCAGCCAGCCAGCCAGCCAACCAGCCAACTAGCAAACTAAGCTGCCTAATTGAATGTTATCCGAAAAGTGAAAGATGCTTGATCTATGCAATGCTGCACGACACTGCTGCCAATCTATGTTGCCTTCTCAAGCTATTCTATTATACTCATACCTCGTATTGTAATGATCTAGTGTGAGGAGCAGTCCAGTGACCCTTTCAACCATTGTAGTAGATGACATAAGTAGTAGCATTGGATTTCTCTGACCTATAAGTACCTAAAATTTGGTATGCTCCTCTTCACCCTTTCTCTACATTTCCCAGGGTATCAACAATACAATCAATAACTGCCTCTTTGAGTCTAAGAAAATATACATGTAGCCTACTCCATAAAAATGTAATAAGCCTGCCACACTGCAAGCTGGGGTAAATACATACATATATATCCGCTGGCCGGTCGGCTATGATGCCAGTGAGAGAGTAATAGCGGGAAATATACCGAAAATCCTGTTAAACATAATAGCTGAATATGTAATATCTATTTGCTGAGAGCAGCCGTCTACCAGTTTAGTTGGCTTTCCATTGCAAAATTGTGTTTAGTGGAGATGGGGCGGGTCGATTGATGAGGTGTTGTCGCGAGGGTCAAGACGACATCTCGCAGTTTCTCAGTTACTCCGGAAGCTTTTCACGCAGCTCACGTTGCAACTTTAAAATAATCTCAAGCAGTTAAAATAACAAAAGCAGCAGCAGCCGCAACAACAGCGGCGGCAGCTTACTGCAAACAGGTAAATTTAACGCTTATGTAATACGGTCTCCAGTCAGCGGGACAGCTGAAAATGTTTATGATAATAGACGCAGTGTGTAAAAGCTCTCTTCCTATAGTATGATATCACAAATTCTCCTTTTCTTTTGAAACATTCTTGTCTGCTGGTATACTTATCTAGGCAGGCGGATACGCACATATAAAATGTCGACTATGTTGTGAAAACAGATTACATGTCAAGATCACCCCAAGTTGTCTTATTATAGTATTATACAGTAAATGAGATCAGCGTTGCCGGCTGACATTTAAAAAACAATCAATATACCCTGCTTTCGATGCGTTCTAGGGTATAATAATAAACCGTATTATCGCATCATCACGGCTAACAATGTTGACCATCAACAGTTGTTAAGCCTCGTCATCATGCAATCATCTCATCTCATCTGTCAATTTCACATCAACAACATCACAAAACCCCGTCACATCAACAACATGAACAACAACAACAATATTTGGATCAGGAAGCTGAATCCCTTTCACTTTTTGGGGCCATGYTTCGACCCACAACTTTTGTTGGTCACAGATCTCGCAGCTAACGTCTTTTGTGCTGATCGTTTCGCTGGCTACAGGGGCCCGAATTATGTAAAAGGTTGTAGCTGATTTTGATTGTGTTTATGATTAAAGAAAGTATCTGCAAAGGTCTTGCCTTCATTTTCATATACAAAGTGATGTAAGCAACGAGGCGTAGTAGTAGTCGCTGTGCTTGATGGATTAGCCTCGCACTTACCTTCGTAGGTCAACATGACATGGTCGCCGCTGTGATTGGTGAAACGCATCCAGAAACAAAGCGTAAACTGATCCAGCTCGGGCAACTCGTTATCATACTCCACTGACCCATCTTGATTGAATGCAAACTTCTTGACACTGCAGCGATCGGAAGCATAGAGATTAGAGCGCGGAAAACTAATAGTGGGCTCTTCAATTGCATCATCTTTTAAGCCATATGACTTGTAGTGATTATCGTGATCGTCAATCAATGTAATGGGACGCGAAGACTCAACTCCATTTATCAGAGCGGCTCGTGTCAAAAGCAGATCGTCTTCCTCCTTGGAGTCGCCGAATTGGGCATAGCTGGTGGCCAGCTCGTGGCTGCTGCTCGCCTCGCCAGGATGCGATTGCTTTAAGCTGTAGGATGTTATGGGGCTGCCCGCTGACGCGATTGGCTTCCATCCGAGCGAGTTGCCGACGTGAACGAAAAGAAGAAACGCACTGAGCACTAAGCTCGCGCCCCAGCCTGTTTGCCAAAACATTTTACCGGGATATTATGTTTTTGGGCTTTTGTCTTTGGTCTTTTTATTTTGTAATTGAAATCGAAGCGATTGTACGTCCGTCTGCGGCGGTGTCTCGCACTTCACTAGTCGGCTACGCATGCTCCAACGCTGTGTCGACCGTAGTCAAAAAGAAGAAGAAAACATAAAAAGCCAAACCGCATACACCGAGCCCGTCGCCACGTACAGTGGAGTTTTAAACAAATTTTTATGGAAATATAAAGGCTGAGAGTGCATGATTATTTTTCAATTAGAACATTTTTTTGAGCAAGGCATCCTGTACATAGAAGATACTATTAAAATATATTTGAAATGTTTTTAATCGTAATGTAAATCAAAATTTCAACGGACACAACATTTATTCCCACTACTATGCGAGAATTGTGAGCGATAAACACTATAGAAATTGATATCATTTAAATTTATAGTATAGCATAGTCTAGTAGCCTGTTCTCTGTCTTTCACTATAGAACGATTGGTTTGGTATGATTTAACAACGGTTTATGAGTCATGGCCCACTGTGCGATGTTTGTCTGAGTACGTCCGTCGACCAGTTGTAACAAATGGTAAAATTGTATTGAAATTGAAACTGGTTGGGTTTTTGTAATGCCCTGCGCTTCTGCGAAACGGGTATGCAAGATCTCGGGGCACAGACTATTCCGAGCTGACCTTAAAACACTTTTGGACTTTGCTACAAACCGTTGCCGTGTTGAACTTCTTTTTGAACAACAATCGCAGCAAATTTAGCAGCAGTACTGAAAAACTCTTAGAACTGCTGCAGGGCATTTGCTAGTCGAGCATACTCGAGCTGAGCACTCTCACTTGTTTTGTTTTTGTGCGCTGTAAAGCCGATCTTTTCATTTCAATGCAACAACGCTATAGCCACATATACGTGTGTATGTATGTATGTAATGAAGCTAAGCATTACTATCTGCTAAGCACCGACATACTCGAAGCTTCCTCTCTGGCTAACCCTAGTCGCCGGGACAGTTAAATGCGAAAGTATATACATATGTACATACATGCATAAATATACATATATGCTTATAATAATAATATATGCACTTATACTTATGAACTAACTGTCTTCACGTTGTCTGTGTTAGCTGCACATCATTAATAAATCAGTCAACATTCCAGTGGCAACTATTGTGTAATGTACAAATAAGAGTAATAAACTGCCGATCAGAAATCGCTTCTACCAGAGGGAAAGAATGAATGACTGAGTATGAGTAAATCGTATATGTACAGAAATTTGTATTGATTCTTTTGATACAAATTTAGGTATGAGATTAAAATTCTTTTGGACTTAGCTTCATATAAAACTCGACCCATTAATCTAACAGCTCTTAAAAAGTACTTTATCTTAATAGAGGCTAACTACATGACTAGAAGAAAAACTGATGAGACAGCTACTAGTTATAGTTTCTTATATGTATGTGCGTCTTATCAGTTTTATTTGCAGTGCTAAGAATGAATATAAATATTATATGTACCTGAGAAAGTGAAAGCCTTTTTAGTTTCTACACACGAAAATAATTGGCAAAGAGTTTGATTGCCTGGGTGTGTACTTTGTTACAACATTGAATAATTTTTTTGTTTCGCGATTTGTTGGCCCAGCCCCTGGGGCTTCCAGCTATAGTTGTTTTCAACTGAGTATCACAATTGACTTCACATCTGTGTGCAATTCATTATTATTTCATCCCAATGATATGTAATTTGAAGAAATTTGTACGTATTTTTATTTGCACGTTGTCAAAAAAATTATATATAAATATATTAACAAACATATATTGATTT